CACGATAGTGTTAATTGACAAGTGCAATGTTGTAATCTCTTGTGAAATTACCCATGTTTCCATTGAATGAAAACAATGACATAAATACAAAAAAAATTATATTCTACCAACAAACTGACATCAGTCATTACGTAAACAATCATTAATGTGATATGCAGTTCCATGAAACAATCTTCAATGTATTGAAATGATTAACTAAATAGAAAGTGTGTTAACTAAACTAAAAAATGAACATAACAAAGTCAACTTGATGAAAACAATTGACAAGCTGTTTGTGGGGACTATGGATGAACTCTCTTCCTTCTGTGGAACCATAGCCAAATACCGCAGCCAATGCAAACAATAAGGAAAGATATAACTAATGGTACAACGATGTACGCGTATTGAGGTGATTTTCTCTCCTCGATGTCTACAGTTGTATCAGTAGTCATGTTCTGAAATGAACGAAATAGTAAAATGATTACAAAATATCAAATATTTACCAAATGTGATTCAGTGCTTCCACTAGTCTTCTTCAATTCATTTCTGAGATCGGTTTCAGTAGTTGCTAGAGTTGTTGTATCTGTATTGATGTTCTGAAATGAACGAAATAGTAAAATGATTACAAAATATCAAATATTTACCAAATGTGATTCAGTGCTTCCACTAGTCTTCTTCAATTCATTTCTGAGATCGGTTTCAGTAGTTGCTAAAGTTGTTGGTTCAATGGAACCCTTGACAACCGAGCTCTTCAGAAGAAAGAAACAGTAGAATATAATTAAATATCAAATATTCCATCATTCATTATACACCATTGTCAGTATTGATGACATAAGTGAATTCAACATTTAGTTACATAATTTACATTTTGACAATGTGATCAATGAATAATGATATAGAATATCTGCTACCGATTTAACAGTCAATGTGATAAGTACACACTTTCCAACAACTAACCGACGACTTTTGTTTGAGTGATGAGATTTGTTTTCTGGATATCACATCTTATCACAATCTATACATTACTCAACAAACTTATGACTGACGGCTTTACTGAAGCAATTCATTCAGGGTAAACATTTCTCAACAAGGAATCAGAAATACGTGTTCTGTACTTCAACAATGGGGATACCAACTTTCACTCATTATCCGAACATGCTACACAATTTTCAACAGATTACGCATTATATGAGCTAATGAATTAACATCTTTCCAGGCATTAGTGTTAAATAACTCTTCTATTCATTGCTGAATGTCCATACGGAAATAGAGCATTGCATTCATATGTGCTTCAATATCGTATAAGTTACTATGAATTATGCACTTAGGGTACACTAGAAATCACTACTAATTTGTAACAATACAAATGTTCTTCCGAAAAAAAGATTGCAATTTGGCATATCGTAATATTAAGAACAATCTTTGAAGTCTACCAATTGCTTACTTTTTTCTGGCAACCATTTACTTCGAAAACATGAACATAATCATCATTGCTAGTAGTGCATATTTTGGCTGATTTACACCAAATACACGTTTTATTCAATGTTGTTGCGCCATGACATGCTTCAATCGAATTGTGATTTGGACAATCTTCAGTGAAAGAAAGAAGAAGGTGATTGCATTTCAAGTTCTCAAACAAAAGATAAATGAATTACAAATACAAATGTAACTGTAACTCGATGATGGCGATTTCGGAGTTAAATGAGTATTTCATTCTCTGGGCATTTGTCATCACACTTCCAATGTGATTCACATTTCCTGAAAACATGTTGGAATTAAATAAGATTACGTTGCATGTTGAACGATGAAATTTGTCAGGCGAATGTCACGGATGTTAATGACTGTTAATATTAGAAAATAAATGTGCCCGCTTGACGGTCAACGAAACTCGTTCCTGCCTCATGATTGAAATATTTCATGTGGCTACATTCTAACCTGTGTGTCATCAGTTAGTATGTTAGACTAGTTGGTTCATGAAAATTCGTCGATAATGAATAATATTCTAGTCAACGAATATTGAAGTCGATCTGGACATCACATTATGGAATGATTCTCTCTGTTGTTGAAATATTATTTCAATAGTTTAATACATGATGAACAAAACGATGTGTCTGGTTATTCACTGTACGTATTCAGGAGAAAGGAAACGCTTCCATACTGTGAAAACCCTCAGTGTTTTTGATACTGTACAAATGTTTACTGACTATGATAAAGTGAACTTTGAACACGTGATTTTTCTACTCCTTCAATCTATCAGATGAGTGGGATAAAGTAGAGATTTTGGAAATTAAACTATTGTTTCCAAGGCAATTACAGTTTCATGAAGTGTTTCTGTAATGTCAATTCCTCGGTGAAATTCGATATTGCATGTACCAAATGAAAATCAAATAACACTTCCCAGTGAATGCACAATCAACTAACTGACTGATATCATCTCATCCATCGTCTTGCGACACTTTGTTCAAGTAAATTTCATCAAAATGAAGACTTCTATTGTAGTCCAAAATGTGTCTATAATCATTTTAAATGTTCAACAGTGAGTCGTTGTTTGGTGTAACGTCTAATTGAGACTGATGGCCTGATATCACTTAATAACTGTGTGAAATCATATATGAAATTTCCAATTTTATGAAACGAAGGTGATGCATTCAAGTGTGAAAATAGTCAACTCTGATAAAATAAGGTTTTACATACCCCCGAGAACTTCATATTCCACTAGCGTTCCATTTTGGATCCATTCAGAAGGAACATCTGCACTAGGCCCTTTCCAACCTAATGTGACCAATTGTACAGAAGAATACAGTTAAAATTCAGATTACCATTTTGGATATGACATGTTGTTTGTTCATTTAAGAGGCGATCAAAACAAGAAACTGTTTATTATCTGATTACAGATACAATGACGGTCAAATAACATCTTTATGAAATATGCTCTACATCGATTAAGGTTCTGAAAGTGACCAATGTTCAAGCACTCAATGAAAAATGATATGGCTAAATTGCTGATTTGTTTCACTAAAGTGTCAGTGCAACATCTACAGAGAAAAAATGTTTATCTCGTTACAAATTGTTTCGGAAATAGTCAATATTGAGAGGCTGCAAGTTTGACTGTCTATTAGTGGGTGAGTGAATAAATGAGTAGATATATCGTCTGTCTAGTATCCTCGTTCACATATTCCTGTCTGGATCGTCAAGACTATACAAAAGACATGTCCAAATATCTATCCGCAAATTCGTGATGAAGACATTCACACATCTTAATTATATTACTCGGTGTAACAAGTTAGGCAAGCGTCAGCTGACGTGGATCCTGAAGTTCTTTTTGATGGAGCTCAGCACAAAAAGATAAAACAATACGATTCCGAATGAATCACAACAACTCAAATCTGCTTTGCGATATCAACGAGGATGACGGTTGTTCAATTGAGAATACAAATACTTTGGTATCAATTTGAAAGTTAAAAAATAATTTCAGGATGAGTTTCGATTATGAATTTTTATTATATGTTACCTCGATCCCCACACCAGACATAATAACTAATGCCTGATATAACATCGCCTTCCTTAAGTCCTCCGGGAATCTGAAAAGAAGTAATGGAAGTCTGAGTCAAGATCTGTCAATACACAAACACCTATATCACAACCAACTAAACATTGAAGCAATGTGTCGTCATTCACATTAACTTATTCAAAGACAACTAATTACACTCACAGTAAGCATACTGATCTCCTCGTTTCCCTAAGAAATATACTCCATCTAATTTACAAATATATTCTGACTCACCTCAGTTGACAACTTCAGTAAAGTTATATGAACGATCTATTTATCATGGAATGAGGCTATACATAGTAAGATGAATATCTACGTCCGTTGGTAGAAGTGTGATTGTGAATAACTGCAATGTCGCTGAACGTGAATTTGTTGTTCTGTTGTGGAATTGTGTTTATGTGCCTACTTATATCAATTGCCGTTCATTTCTCAACATTATTCATTCCACAATTTGTTCTGATTACCTCGAAACAAACAAGACGTATTCAGTTCAACACTCATTAAATTTATTATCTCACCAGCCATTTCTAGTCATCCAGTATTTATTGTAATACAAATCCATCAAGTTCTAAATAGTGACATTCGAACAAATATAATGTGAGAGGCGATCACGATTTTAACAACATCTCTCTCTCTCTCTCGAAATATTCAATTATGAACTTTTCTAACAACTGGTATGTGGAAGTCTGAAAATGACCGTTCACGTACAGAACTCTGACATACACTCTTTGTCGTTAATTGGCTCGCAGGTATCAGAATTTGGTTACATATTACATCACTTCTCATTATTTTATAAATAGTGCTAGAATAAACTGTGTCATGAACGGATTATGAATAGTTTCATAAAGTCTGTATGCACAATTCAATTTGCTGGTATCGGTTTATCCTTTTCAATATATCTCAATGTATTTGATTGTACTGATATGCATGAAATAATAGAATAATCCATTCATTTGTGCAACTTACATTCTCATAATAGAAAGATATCTTCCCATTCGAGTGTATCAGATACATTGCCTTGAATGTATCACCTGCGAAATAGAAAACTGTCGATATTTAAAATTTCAAGGATTAGTGTCGAGCATGTCGTTGCTAGATGTGTCATTGTATGTGCGTACACACACAGAGGGATCAGATGTTAGCAGATATTTACTGTGTTATCTCAAATGCTTTCGTCATGAAAATAATCTCGTGAATGTTGTGTAGATGAAATAAGCATATATATCTTTCATAATGAATGTCAGATGCTTGGTTTGTTTAGTTTTCATATTCAAACAATAAATCATCTAGTTTTTATTTGGATCTGATAGTTGGATTGGTATTCAAATTGGTGGAATATTTCCTTTATTTCAGCTGATACAATGGACTCTAGGCTTAAGTGACATGAGCTGCTGTTTGTTTGTTTGTTTATAATCCGATTTATGTATTACATGGATTCTATGTTCATTTAGCCTTTGATTTCGTAGAATGGTTACACTGCAATACTTTCGTCAGGTTTTTTAAAGACGAATTCAATAGAAAATATTTGAGTAATAACAATCAATGATGATGATGATGATGATGATGATGATGATGATGATGATGATGATGATGATGATGATGATGATGATGATGATGATGATGATGATGATGATGATGATGATGATGATGATGATGATGATGATGATGATGATGATGATGATGATGATGATGATGATGATGATGATGATGATGATGATGATGATGATGATGATGATGTAAACTGTTCATAGTTCACACGGGATCAAACAATTATGGATATGGATACATACTTTTATTATCAATTTCTATAGGACATAACCTTCTGACAGCGAGAAATTCCTCTGAAATAATGAAAGTAATATAAATTTGTGTTCGTGTATCTGTATAATGAATATTGACCTCTTTCAATAAACATGCATTTTTTCTAACACAAATTATGTTTGAACACAAGTTATGATGTTCCTTTTCAACATTGAAGTGAACCAATTCAACTAAATGAGAGTCTCAATGATCTGCATCCTGAAATGTTGGGCTTGTAAGCATTTGGCTAACTAAACAACCATTAATATCTATTCGACAATAAACATACATAATCATTTTGTGAAATTCTGTTATTCCAATTGAACAGTATTCTCTTAAATGAACTAATGATTGTCCGAAAATGTTAACCCAATGACATTAATTACGGTAAGTGAATGAACTGAATACCCTTCATTTTGATATTTTAGGTGTTCCAGTTCAAATCAATCATGTTGTACTAGCACATTATTCGTGATTGTTAGTTGATTGGATGGTTGAGGTGGTGCATGAGTTCAAACTTCATGATTAACCGATTATGATAATTAAGAGTGTGTTTAATATCCAATAGTTCAACGAAAGTGAATAAGAGGGACTGAATTTTTAAGAACCAAGTAAGTGACAGATAAATTTGGAGGACATCAAATATAAATCGTTGATAGTTCATGCGCTTCAATAATCCAAACTGATTTCTCACACAACATCGCTCATTGTTGCATCTGTGATCAGATAGTTTCGTTCAATCTATCAAGAAATGTCGTATTGATGAAATATCAGTTTCATGGTAGTTTGAACAGATTGAAGAGTAGATAATTTGCACCTTCGCATTCACATCGTTTGGTTTATTATTTCTACTCAATCAATTTGTGTCTACTTTAAAGTGAATCACTGTTTTATTTAAGATTTTCCCTTCACAGTAATGGAAACATGTTGTGAACACATTTTTGGGGCATGAGATCACACAAATAAAATAATCACTGTGTACTGACCAGCTCTCATGAAACAATCAAGTTAGATGCTGAATCATTTATGCAAAATAATAATGAGTAATGTAAAACATAAAACAAAAACACGTCACTGAATAATAGTAGAACTCACCGCCATTCAATATCTCAACTTCACACTGAACATTGCCGGTGATATGATTGAAAACAAAACTCGTAACTTCTCCTTTTTGAAAATTAGTTGTTCCTGTTTTTATCAAATGAAAACATGCAATTCGATTAATAATCTATAGTGAATGAATGAAACACTTTGAAATTCACTGGAGACTAGAATGAATTGCATGAACTCTAATTAGTTTACTACAACGGTACAACTTGAACAAGGAAATACATTAGCAGATGTATTGAATGTGAAACAAAAAATGCCTAAAACTGATCTATCGAAGTAATGAAAGCGACTTTGATTCATGGAATTGAAATGTGAGTAAACAAAACTTTAATTCGAGGAAAAGAATTCTCTTACCATATTTATCTATACCGAATGAGCTGCGATCAGCACCGTAAAATGTAAAGGGGAATTTCAGATCTATTTTCTAGAAAGTATGCAAACATATGAATAAGCATCTTCGTTGAAAAATGTCGTTAACTCACCTTCACAATATCCAATTTCTCAAAATTTTCACTAACAATTGGAGGGGATTGATCTAGGCGAATGAACTGGGAACAGTGATAAAAATGAGACTGAATATTTGTAATGCAAATTGACTGATCACTTACATATTTATATGTATCAGTTTGGAAAATTACTTCTCCCTTACTAAGTACATCAGAGTTTTCACAAAATTCATGACAGACGAAAAATTCCGATGTGAGGACAATGATCGAATAGATCGTTACCAACTGACCAAATGAAAATGTAAATCTGAAATGGTTCAAATGAATAGAACAATGTTATCTCATTAGATCAAATTGAAATGGATATAATACAATCATTTGACGTAAGTGTACGGTCAATACTTACATCATTTTCTTGTTTTAGACGTTGGTAGAATGCGTTGAGTCTTATATAGAATTTTTTGGAAGTGTTTGTATGTTTCTTTCAGATTGGATGATTCAAATTGACCATTAAGATGATGAAATTTCATAAATTCATTTCATAATTATTAACCAATCGTCATAGGAGATGAACTCATGGTTATGCAATAGTCTTACACGTATTGAGGTTATATAGTCTGATATTGATCCATAGTTGATTGAAATTCCTGACCCCCTCCCTTATTGATGAAAACTATTTTGCACAGGATTACCAATATTTTAAACTAAGTAATTAGTGCTCATATTTTCATGAACAAACAAACCAACTGTGAGTTGGTTGTCAACGCTGCATAGTTTTGATTTGATTGGTTGAAATTAAAGTAGCACACACTGTTTTCATTAGATGACCGAAATTCACATTTTTATGTTTAAATTTTATTTCAATAAAATGAATTCTTTCACTGGTTTAAATTATGAGTCAATTGAAGCTAGATTACCATGGAAAACCTAGAACTTCAACCAATCCACGAAGTTGCGCCAACGTCACCATTGTCTTCAGTGAGTTGATATCTGACAACAGACCTGGTTGAACGTCAATCGGGGTGGTTTCTCACTAGAACTCCATGAGTGTCTCTTGAAGTCAGTCACTAGTGAGCAAATGATTATTATCAGGAAGGGTTTTGTGCACGCGACGCTGATATGTCCTGGGTTCGAATCTCACGAGGTGCGGGATCTTGGATGTGCACTGCTGAGGAGTCCCAGACTAGGATGAGTCAGCCGTCCAGTGCTTCCAGGTTTTCCATGGTGGTCTAACTTCAATTGATTCATGATTTCAATCAATGGAATGAATAACAGTCCATACTTTCTTAAATCAATTTTCATTTCATTGCAAAACGCCAACACTTTTTATGTTTTTTTGATTACATTTGTAAAATAGTAATTCTCGATACTATGAAAGTGAATTGTGCACTTCAAAAAGACGATGATGATGTCGTAGTAGTAGTGGTAGTAGAAGTAGTAGTAGTAGTAGTAGTAGTAGTAGTAGTAGTAGTAGTAGTAGTAGCATAGACGCAAATATACAAGTATCTGTAATGATCAATCTGAACAGATCTCGTGACTTCTAAAGAGTTTCTACGTTCACCATGAGAAGTCATAATTCTTTGAAATAAACATTTTGCATAACACGCAGCGCTGAATTAATTTAGTTTAGTTGATATTTTTAGATTAGAAGTTTTTGAAAACATAGTTACCTATATAAACAATGATGAACGTTCTCATCTGTTACCATGGAAATATTTGGAGATGGTGTGATTTGTGAATTACGAAGGTCACTTCATAATTATCGGAATGACTTGCAGTGAGGTTCCACATTTTTTATCAATATAATAATACTACTAATAATAATGGTGATAATAATAATAACAACGTTGTGTGATCATAATATGTAATAAAAGGAGTGGTGTAGTCAAGGTGATTACGAAGAAAACGAATCAGTGGGGATTAGGAAAGAGATAATCACAAAACGAATAGGTTTATAACATGAATTTGAAGTGTCTGATGATTCAGTTGTGGACCACGGTAAACATGGAGGCTGGATATACCTCTTCTGAATATATTAGTTCGGTTTTCAAGAGTTGATCCAGATGACTTCAGTTATGTTGAGTACCCGTAGTCTAGCTCCTGTTATATCCCCATATACATCGTGCTTTTAATTCAGCGTTTGTTTACTGACCATGTGAGGTGTGAATTTTATCAAATTTACTCTACAGTTACTTGACTGAGAATGTTATATTATAAGTATATCTATAGATATTTAGTGATGGAATAATTTGACCGGAAAATGTATGGAAATGACATTGTTTGCAGTAGAAATGTAAATAACTGCAGTCAAAACGAAATGATTATACTGAGCAACACAGGTGAATAATAAATGATGATGTAAGGTGACTATGGTGGAGTTGAATTGCCTGGACTCTAATAGAGAAGTCACGCACTCGGCACATAGAACATGGAATAGATCATCTTTAAAGAGTAACTAATCAATAAGTCGGTTCAAATGATAAAACATCAACCTTCTGAGCAACAGATCTTCTCTCTATAATCTCAATATTTGATCACAGTTTGCAATGTTGAATATGTGGTGACCTACTTTCATCAAAAGAACGTGTTGGGTTTAATGCAGACAATCATTATTATAACCAATTGTACCAGTGATGGTTTTACTGTGCTCGTTTGTTTAACTGTGCTAATGACAGCCACATTACTGCTTCATTATCCTTCGATTGATTATGACCTTGTACGAGTTGGGTTACGCTCAGTAACCACGCCTGTACTTCTTTGGAACGATTTCGGTATCATTCCGATAGCACGAGATCGCCAACAAATACATCTCGACTACAGCCATCAACTGCCTTCTGATATTTGGCTTACGTGGGATTTTATCGGTTAACTGGCACGTAGTCTTCTTGTAGTGGTGTTCATAGTCAAGCGCGACTCGACACCACACTACAAATATCATCTTATCGAGTGAATTGTAATGCGATCGTCAGAAATCAAGTAACTGGAAGGACAGCTTTATGATGATCAACATCATGAATGTGACATTTATATTTCAAGTTGATGACGATGATGACCCCGGACATCATGTTCATCTCCACTTTATAAATATATATTTGCTACATTGTGGTAGATCGAATCGTCTTTTTTGATAGCACCCTGACCATATATGCCTCTATAGTCCTTCTAAGAAATGTTCCAGATCGATTCGTGAATATCTACAATACTGAGGTGTGAAGGCAGTTACGACCAGATAAATTTCAATTCGGAACTGTTAAGGAAATCAAACTCACAGAATCTTGTGATTTTGGTGGAATAACATGAATCTAATTACGTTAGCTGCATAACACCAATGTCTTCTGAATGATACACGAATCGAACTACTATTGAACATTTGCTTGAATACATC